CTAGAACTCACATCAGATCTCGGCAACCGCAGAGGGCTTGCCCCTGAGACTGCGTCCCATGGAATGACTGAGGGAGGGAGAGTGGACCTCACTGCCCCCCACCCCACGCTCCCCGCCAGGGCAGAGAGGAGGCCCGGCTAGGGGGACCACATCTCACCACCGTGCTTGGGCTCACACTCCAGGAGACGGGACCATTCGACGGAGAAGCGCTGATGTCTGTGCACAGGTGAGTTTAACCTGTCAGGTAGGCAGGCAGGCTTGGAAAAACACCAAAGCCAGAGCCTGGCCTGGATGGAGGTCTGCTCTGAAGTGCGGGGCATGAGCGCAGAAAACCCGAAGACACATGCCTTTACGACGCTCGCGCTGAGTCACCCCACAGAGAAGATACTGTACCCGGTTACCTCGTAGGCCTTCGGGGGCCTCCGGTCCCCCTGGCGAGAGCTGCCCTCCGCCAACCGCTTACATAAACCGGACTTCGCGAGCCCGAGGGCCCCAGCTCTGGCTACTGCCTGTGCCGCATCGCCCCCCTTTCTGTCACCGCCACACATGAGAAACGGCGTTTTTCTTTGCGTTTGCACAAAAGCAATCAGAGTGCCGTCAACTGTTCTGAAACGTCACAAGGGGACTGGAGGAAAGAGGGTTATGTCACACCCACCTGCACCACAGGAAGTGGCTTTACGTCTCTCCTGGACCTTTCTGCCCTCTCAAGCTCCTCTCTGTGGCTCGCTCACCCCGGGTCTCCTCTCCAGGCCTCCTCCAACCCCACCCCTGCCCAGGCTTGCTGGCTCCCCACTCTTTCTCCCTTGGCACGGGTTCAAGTCCTGCCTCTGCCACTTACTGGTCCTGTAAACGTGGCACGTTACCTAAGCACCCTGGGCCTCTGTTTCTTCATGTGGAAAGTGGGAATAATAATAGCACTTCCTCCCGAAGCCACTGCGGATGGTGAGGTGGTACAATAAAGAGCCTAGAACGGAGCCTGGTACGGAGCAAACCCTTTTTAAGTCTCTTGCTGTTATTTGCGGGCAGACCAGGTTAGCAACCACCCTTTGTCGGCAAAGCAGGGCTTGGAGCCTGCTCTGCCTCAAATGGTCTGTCACATTTTTAGTTCCCTGAGCAAGTGGAATGCCTTCCCTGAGGGAACTTTGGTGACTAAATGTCCTTCTCGTGCTTTTTCATCTTTCTGGCCATGCCGATAAGGCGACCAAGTCCAGGTCGCCTGGCATTCTGTCCCCAGGAACGAGACTCTAGGCAGCTCATGGAAGGCTGAGCGCTGAGGGAAACCAGGACCGCCCCTCGCCACAGCTGCCTGGACCAGCCTTGGGCTCCGAGCCAAAGGCAGCTCATGCCTGCTCCTCCCTCAGAAGGGGAGCCGGCTGCCTCTGGTGTGGTTTGCTGGGAACGTCACCCCAGCAGGCAGCTCCATATCGAGGGGTGGCTGATGGACCCAGTCACAGCGGGCTCTCTTGGGGCCCAGGATGTTCTTCCTGAGAGGATGGGTTGTGTCCCCAATAGCACTGGGCTACTGTTCTAGTTCTGCCCGTGTAGTCTGGGCAAGAGGAGGTTGTCCCTGGCTCACCCTCATCCCTTGCATTGCTGGATCCCCATCCCCAAAGGTATATGTCTTCTCTGCAGCATAGCACACCTGGCAGGTGTGCCGGCCCCTGTGCGGAAGTGTGGTCCTGCAGGAGAGGCGGGCACGAGCTCGACAGCCCCTTAGCATCCTCCATCCAAGCTGCGCCCAGCGTCCTGCCTTGAGGTGCCCTGAGCACGCCCCAGAGTGGGGCCGACTCTGCTGGTGGGTTCGGGTGGGGTGGGTGAGGATGACATAGGCCCTACCTGGACGAGCTCACTGTCCCTCATGTTCTTCAGCCCCTGCCACAGACGGCAGAGCTGGACCCAAACCGTGTGGTCAGCTGCCTGGGGTCTTCCCCCTCCAGCTCTTTGTACCCCGAGACAGGCCTCCAGGGTCCCCCTAAAGCAAGGCTTTCTGAGTTGCTAAGGAGAAAGCTGAACCTTTTTGCCCAGTGGCAGGTGGCCGGAATGACCTCTTGAGAGGAAATAAGGGTTTGCTAGGCCTGGCGTGAATCGTGTGGGCAGCTCTGACTCGCAAGCTTGTCTTTTGGTTTCCCCCTCAGCCTCCCCCCTCCCCCACTGTTCCATTTAAATAGTCAAATCCTGTCCTCTTTCCTGAGAACAAAGGCCACTGCCAAGAAAGCTACATTCAGTTCCCCACGCTCCAAACACACCTGCCTCAATCAGCGGTTGGAGCCCTACTGTCCCCTGGGGTCCAGGCAGGATGAGGTGTGGGCACCCCGGGCCATGAGGTCTTTTCCACAGGGATATTTCTAGGGTGGGAGGCGAGGCTTCCTTCGTGGCTTCCTGCTGCAGTCCCGGCTCTCAGAGCAGGCTTGTTAAAAGGCCCCGTCCCCACAGCCACACCACGCAGGGGCCCTGCACTCTCGCTGACTTCCAGAGAGACGGCAGAGGGGGGAAGCCCGTCACTTCCGATATCGAGGAACGCCCAGCTGCTCTTCACCCCACCGGGGTCCCCAGCACCAGGCCACGGACCAGGACGGCACAGGGCGAGGTTCTCACCAGTCCATAGGGAACAGAAGAGACCGAGGAGGTGGAGTGTGTTTGTCAGGAAGTTGAATCTATTTGATTTAAAGGACTGGCTTTCTTTTTTTTTTTTTTAGGAGTATGTTTTCTCTGCCTCTTTGGCGGTCAAGGATGCTTTCATGAAATGAGCTGTTGGAAGGTGGCAGTTGTCACTCTTTTAGTTTTCAAATCTCCTTAAGTGGCAAAATTAAGGGAAGCAATAAGAGGAGGTCTGCCAGGCTTGGGGGGAGTTTGGTGGTTCGTGGTGGCAGGAAGGGTGGCCTGTCCCACGGAGCCGAGGAGAGAGGGGAGCCCTGACCTGGGTCTGGCTAAAGGGGTCCAAGCCCTGGCGTCTGGCACCTTGAGGATGAGAGACTCACGAGAGGTCCAGGGCCGGGGTTGGAGGGCAGTACACATCTCTGGGCACCAGGAGCCCCTCCCGAAGGTGTGGCCCCCCCATCCCCCGCATATCTGCTACAGGTCTGAAACTCAGTGCAGGGGTGGGGAGGGCGGATGTAAGGAAAGATGGAAAAACGCATTTGGGAAATCAGACCTGGATCCCAGTTTGCTACCAGCCAGCAGGCAGCCTAGACAAAGGCCTCAAACTCTCGGAGCTCCATCTGCTCACCCGCAAAGTCAGGGGCCGTTGGACTAGAGGTCCCCAAGGCCTCTGGTCCCACCTCTGGCTCTGGCTGATCTTGATGCTCCCAGTTTGGAGTCAAAGGGACCCTCATTCCACATTTGTAGCCTGAGCACAAGCACAGTGCCCGGTCAAAGGGCCCCACGCAGGTTAGCGAGCGGGAGGCCTGGTCTCTCCCCCGGAGGACGGCATGCAACCAGCCCTCGGACAAGGTCCCACTGGGGCGGGGCGGAACCCACATGGGCCCAGTGGGTCAGAATCTCCTGACCGATTCCAAGGCCCTGTTGTCACGTCCCCACGGGGCCGCTGCCTGTGGAGAAGCCCAGGCCTGCGTCCCTTCCCCTGAGTGTGAGGGTGGGGACTGCAGGTAGCTGGCCTTGGGAGGCGGGGCCTCTGACGCAGTCAGAGCTCAGGCCAGCGGGCCAGCCACGAGCCAGCTGGCCCTTGTAAACACTCTGGCGCTCTTGCTGTCACCTGGAGCCTATCCCCACACCCGGCTCGAGGGAGGCAGGAGTGGGGCGGCAGGAGTCTGGTTGTCTGGGGGCAGCCTCTGGGAGCAGATGGCCTTGGATTCGAGTCACTCGTTTAACCTGTCCGAGCCTCCGCTTCCTCATCTGCAAAGGGGGGTGATAACCAGACCTGCCCTTGAGGTTGCCGTGAGAACGCAATGGGATGACGCACGGCCAAATGCTTAGACTCGATGCTCAGAACAGGTCTGTGTTCAGTGACCCACTTTCGCTCCTGCCTGGAGAGGGGCAGGGCCCTGCCGGCTCAGAGGGACCTTTCTGCAAACCCAGGGACACTTTCGAGAGGTGCCGGCGGACATTCTCTTCCTGCGCCGAGCCCTGTCACTGCCCGAGGCCTGAGCTGGATGCCGAGACCCCAAGGCTGCGGGGTTGGAGGCCTCCTTTAGACATGGGCCAAGAAGGATGTTTTAAAAAGGAACCTTCAGTAAGTGGCTGGTTCCTCAGTTGTTAGGACAAATGGCGCACTCAGCAACGGCTAGCACCGGGGAGTCGGGGAGTCGGGGAGTCGGGGAGTCGGGGGTAGAGCGGCCCAGCGGTGGGGACGCAGCCGAGTGCCATGGCAGAGAGAAAAGAGACTGCGATGGTGACTTCCTCTGCTCCCAGGGCCCCGAACACCACTTCTGGGTGAACTGAACGTCCTTTCTCGAGTGAACCCACCTCAGTAGCCGAGGGCCCAGCACTGAGACAGGTGGCTCCCCTGACTACGGCTCCCTCCAGGGGCCTGAAACCCAGGCACAGGAGGGGTCCCCACCTGCCACATCGGCCCTTCCATGAGGATATCCACAATGGGCATCTCTGACCAACACCCGAGTGACCGCACTGCCCTCTGACACACCCACCATCATGGAGCCCTGAGCTCCCGCCCACCTCGAAGAGCCCAGACTGCTTCTCCTGGCCCCCGGAACGCCAAGGACGCCCTGGTGCCACAGCTCACGGGCTGCTGGGGTGTGTGACCGGGCCTCAGGGTGACGCCGGAGAGCTCGAGCACCGCAGAACCTGAGCTCCGAGGCCAGCAGGCCCACAATGGGCCTCAGCTGGGCCCACCCACCATCCTGGGCGGTGGGCAAGCTGGTCCCTGCATCCGCGACACAGAAGCCGCCCGTCTCAGCGCTGGGCCCTCGGCTGCGCCTGAACTGGCTGCCCCTCTCTGAATGTCGCCTCACATCCCTGTGGCCGGGCAGGAGGGGCCGGGCCCAGGGCGGGGGCGTGGGGGGCAGGGGGAGCACCGTACTCACAGCACGCAGAGCGCGTAGGCCCGAGAGATGGACTCGCTGGCACGCACGAGGAAGCTCCCGTCCTTGCCCGTCCTGGAGAGCAGCTCCTCGGCCTTGGAGCGGGTGATGTTGCCATGGTTCCAGCAGGGGACCATGGTGAGCGTGGGCTTCCCCGGGCCCGACCGGCAGCCACCCCCAGGACCACACGCCACCGAGGGGAGCTGAGGCCCCTGCACTGCCACTGCTGTCTGTCTCCTGTCTGTTGCCCCGGCTGCTGCCACCAGCTCACTGACGGACTTCCTGCTTCGGGCTCAGCGGGGGAAAGGAAACCAGCTGCAGAGAACTTCCTCATTACGGAGCCGAGCAAGAGCGCCCAGTCCTCCACCTCCCCACCCCACCCTCTTGCGGCCTGCGCCCCCTTCTCCCCTCACCCCCGCTCGCCGGCCCTTTCCCTTTCCTCCAATGGGTCTCAGTCCCCAGAGGGGCAAATGCCAGCTCAGGTCCTGGGGGAATTGGCAGGTCCTTTGGCGTGAGAAGGCTCATGGCCGGCTTCTGAAGAAGCATGGCCTGGCAGGCACGGACAGGCCGAAGCAGTGGCCATTCTGAGGCCTGTCCCAGTACCCACACTGGACGGCCACCCACCGGACAGATCACTCAGCCTTCTGCCCTACACCAGAGCTTTTCAACTCCCTGCCCCCTCCCCTCCAGCACACCCAAGAACCAGAGGCTCGCAGGGCAGGGCTTCTCAACTGGGCTAAGGCCTGGCCCAGAGCTGAGCAAAACTGAGGGGGAGGGGTACAGTTGAGCCCTCTCCCCCATATTGGAGCCCCACGGCCATCCAGATAACATACCACCCCGGGTACCGGGAGGACTTTGGGTGACACCGCCTGATGGCTCCGAGGGCCCAGGTGGGAGCTCTGTAACACCTTTACACTCATCCTCAAGGGCCAGTGGGTCTGAAGGAGACTGGGCTGACCCGTTCTCCACGGCAGCAGGAAAGCAGGCTGGGTTTTGACCTCTGAGTCTTTCCAGAACACTCGGAAAACCCACACATCCCCGTGGGCAAGCTGGCCACGTGGCCGAGAATGATGTTGCTTCTTACGTCTTACATCTCAGCAGAGTTGGGGGTGGCCAGGCCTGGCTGCCTTGCCCACGGTTCAAAGGAGAGCGGCCTCTGTGGGGCCACCATCCAGGACCAGCAGATTCCGAGGGCTCCAAAGTGGACACCCACCCCTCGGTTCTCAGACTGGGTACCTGCAGGACCACGGGATAAAGGGGCAAATGCTGATCTATGCCACAGGGGGTGGGCCCCTACCTCACCCCCAGGCCTCGCCCCCCAGGACATGACAGCAGAAGCCCCTCAGGGCCCGAGCCAGGCCTCCACCTTGAGGAAAGAAGCCCCTGAAGGAGCTTGTGTGCGCCAAGGAGCCCCCAGCACCTGCCATCCGCAGCGGCCCGCATAGCAGGTGATTCGCGTGAACAAGGCGCCTTCACCCAGGTGGACTGACCCCATCCTGATTCCGAGTCCCAGAGGTGTGGCCCCCCACTTCAGGCCCTCTCCAGGCTCCAGGTAAAGCTCCTTTTTGGAAACTTGAGCCCAGAGAACTCCAGTCTTCACCCCACCTCCCCAAAGCTAGTCACTCCCCACAAGCCCCCTCTCTGGCTCCTCCCCGGCTCCACCCAAGGACTAAGCTCTTAAACCTCCAGTGAGCCCCCTGGGCAGGCCCTGAGCAGGTGCGGGGACACGGTTAGGAGAAGAGCTGGGCTTCACATTCTGACTTTCCCAGAGCCAGCTGGGCCTGGGTCTGCCGACCCCCCCAGCAGCCCCTGGCGGAGGCCTCCCCTTCCCTCACCCCACCTCAGCTCCACCCCACCTTGACGCTCCCATCACGCACTTAGCACCCTCCCCATCGCTTCCCTGCCGACCCGCACCAACTCCTGCCCTGCTCTCAGCCTCAAGGCCCCTGGGCCACTGCAGGGTCCGTCTGGAGGCTTCATCTGCCATCCTGGCCCCTCAGTACCTTGGCCAGCTCATCCCTGGAGACCCTCCACCTCGTCCAGGACGCTCATCATCATCTTTCCCCGACACTTTGTGGCTTCCCACCCTCCCTCTCGCACACCTCTGTTCCCACCGAGGCGGGGGTGGCCAGCGGGACTGTCCTTTCCGTTTGACCCCAGTGCGATTTCTCTTTGACACACACATGACACATACACACACATACACGACACACACGTTTCCCTAATTTGTGGGGCCCATCACCCCTTCACTTCCTCCCCAGCCCAACCGCCTAAGCCATCCGACGTGGTCGGCTTCCTTGTCCCGCTGCCCTTGTACCCCCCACATTCAGAAAACCCCAACATCCAGGTCAGGGCTGCCCTCATGGTGGGTGCCACCTGGGTACATATTTTTTGCAGGGCTCCTGTCTATATAAACGACGTACTGAGAATGTGTGGACGCATTGAGGTATAGCGATTTATCCAAGAAGGTTTAGAGTAATGGATGGAGAGGAGGTGAGTATATATGTATTTGATGTCTAATCAGCGCCCATGAAAAGTCTTCATGATGTCCAGGGCCTCTCTTCCCGGTCAGGTCCTGTTTTCTACTGACACGTGCAGCATTCTTGGCTCATCGCGTGTGTCATACAGCCAGATGAGGGTAGCGATGCCGCTATGACTCAAAATGTCACGGCGCTTCAGAGCCTGCTCCACCCGAGACCGCGATCTTCCGGCCTCTGCGTTTCCCAGCACCATCTCCGTGTTGCTGGTCGCACCGTTACCAGGGATGCCGCCTCATCCATGGCGCGGCCCGTGAACGCCAGCTTCCGGTAATTCCCTCTGGGGCTGCTTCTTCATTTCATGGATAAACACGCAGATGCGTCTCGCCCAGAGCATGTGGGAAAATGCAAATGATAATTCATTTTCCGGTCATGTGAAAGCTACCGTTCTGAATTTTGCAGCGTAAACACAGAACAACACATCTTCTAACCCGCTTCTCTTGAATTTTTTAGGCCATGATCGCTGCATTGCTATGTGGTCATCGCTCACTGGTGACCGCACCCCTGCCTTGCACACATGAGGGCGGTCGCATTCTCAAGGAATGTCCGCCCGCACTTGGAGTGACTACAACCAATCTGGGCAGCTCAGTGGCTGCTGATTGGAGGAGCCCATAGGTACCACAGAGCAATGGTCTTGAGAGCCATTGGAGGAGGTGCTGCCTGACACCTGGACAGGGACCTCCACAGGACCTCCATAGGGGGCGGAGTGACTGCCCAGAAGCTGCCGGCAGGCGTGCAGGTAAAGAACACCTGCCCCCATCCCTGCCATCCTCAGCGCTACTGAGCAGAGGCAACACCCTAGGTGGAAGGCTGTAGGTGAGAGGCGACCTGGGGGCCCACACGCAGTTCAAGGCCAGGAACTGGCCGTGAACTGTTCATCGTCCAGATGCCTGAACTTGTCTCGTGTCCGCTGTGAATAGGAGCCATCCAAAATCAGCATCTTGGCACCATTCGAGCGCCCAATCTTGTGCCACTGCACCAAAGGAATACCACGCCAGTCAGGAGTGGCCTGCCCCCAGGCTGCTCCCTGAATCCCACGCAGCCACAGGGCTCCGGAAAGATCCCATAGGCTTGCATCTCATTGCTCCTTGGGGCATCTGGCCAATCCCATATGTGGGGCAGAGGACTGGAAAGCAGCTGAAGAGGAAAGGTGGGGTCAGGGCTCATGTGGGCTCAGGCCCAGGCCAGGGCACCCAAACCAACGGCGCCACCAGCCCTGGCCAGCCCCAGGCACTGGAGCGGGACCTGGAAAATTCCTAGGAAGTCAGGGCAGCGAGCAGCATCAGAGAGGCCTGGTAGGTACCAGCACACGGGCACGTGGCCGTCTCCAGAAGCTCTGGGAAGAACAGACAAAGCACCAGCGTGGAGGACGTGAGTTTACGTGGCAGGCTCCGCTGCCTTCTCCTCACAGTGGGTCCTGGTTTCACTTTTGCTACCAGCATCTTCTAGTTCGACGTTCCAGATCCTCTCCCCGGACCCCTGCAGACACAAATCTGGTTCCAACGTGGTTCAACAGTCTCTGAGCCTGAGGCCTCTTAGGGCCTGGAGCATCCTGAGGATGGGGGGGCAAGGTCCCAGGTCACGGCACCGCCCACCTCTGCTCTCCCCGCGTCTCCGATAGCTCTGTTTCAGAGCTGTAAATCAGATCCGAATCACACACCTGGGAGGCCGGGGTCCGGATCCCAGCTCTGCCACAAATATCTAGTGTCTGAATCTCAGTGTGCGTCTCCGTGATGTAACGTGCCCAGTGCAAAGTAGATGCTGACGCCGAGGCAGGTCTCCGAGGTGGCCCTCCTGACCGGTGCCTGGAGGGCAGAGCCTCAGTGGGCTCCAACCTGATGCTGGCATCAGTGACACTCGCCATTGGCTTATCAACCCAGGTTCGAAAGAGGACAAGATTCCATAAAGTCTTCTTTATCTGTGATTAAAAATAACCTAAATGGGTCAGGTTCTGAGTCCGACGCTTCCCGTTACCAGAGGGAGCCTCAAACTCTGGCCTTCACCTGTGAGCTCAGGTATGATCCTCTGCAGAGCCCCAGCTGTCACGTTCTCATAACAACGATGCCGACAGGGATGGAGCCTATTTCCCAAGGGGTCCAAGGGCCCACAGAGTCCATAATTGCACCCGAGGACCTCCTGCGAATACCAAAGGCCTGGCAACGAGCTGCTTGCTCTTTTGCTGAAGATCCCCGAGAGTCAGGCCGGTGAACGGGGACGGGAGACTCAGGTTTGACGGAGGGAAGAAGCGGGTAGGAGAGAATCACGTCCACAAAAGCAACTCGCATCTTGCCGAGATCGTTAAGGATGTGGGAAAATATTCATCATGTCATGGTAAGTGGGGGAAAAAAGGCAAAAAAATCAGGAAACCAATAGGAAATTTCGATTCCAACTACAGAAAAAACTTTATCCCGGGAAATCACTGACGATGAAAAATGCTGAGTTAGGTGGCACCTCTAGAAGCAGTTTCTTCCCTTCCCTCCTACTTCCAGATTTCCTTTACGACCACATACGATAAAACTTAAATACACAATAAGAAACAAAATAATAAAACTTAAATACATAAAAGAGCCAACTCCGGTTCCAGAGGTGCGTGTGCGCAATTTTTCAGGACAGCCGGTTGCACCCCCAGAAACACACATCTCTCAGGACTTGTAAGGAAGAGACTGACTTCTCTTTAATCTTTTTTAAAAAATTAAAAAACTAATACACGCATATACCAAAAATTCGACCAGCACAATGAACAGTAAGTTTTCCTGCCAGTCCCATTGTCCCTAGGCCAGCATCTTACATATTCTTGCAAAACTCTCTACACAG